GGGCTGCTGTGGGCATGGCTGGTCTCAAGCGGCTGCTCTACTATGGTGGGGCCGCGCCAGAGAGGAAATGGGCGGAAGGTTGTTTATCGCCATGAGGGGCCTCAAAGTTGCGCTGCTGCCCAGGGGGTTAGGGCTCCTGGAGTTCCCCTGGATTCCCAGCTGCTGGGCTGAGTGTGCCAGGATGCTTCCGTCCAGCTGCGAGGCTCCTGTCCCTTTAAGACTTTCAAAAAGCACTCGCTTTTCCTTTGTCCCAGGAGCGCCGGCTGCGGGGATCCGCTCGCAGGTTTTACTGTCCCATTTCCCTACTATCCAGCACCCCACACACTGTGTGTCTGTACTCTCAGTGTGGATGGCTGGGGCTGGGTGTTTAGCAGTCCTGGGCTCCCTCTCCCTCCCCGCTCCGACTCCTCTCCTCCCACCAGGGAGCTGGGGTAGGGGTGGCACTCGGGTCCCACTGGGCCGTGGCTTGTATCTTACCCCCTTCATGAGGCTCTGGGTTCTCACAGATGTAGATGTAGCCTGGCTGTTGTCCTGTGTCTTCTGGTCTCTATTTTAAGAATAGTTGCATTTGTTGTATTTTCAAAAATATATATGGTTTTGGGAGGAAATTTCCGCTGCCGTACTCATGCCGCCATCTTGGCTCTGCCTCTGTGTTTTATTTTTTATCTATTAACTTTTCAAAGCATCTGACCCCATAATGTTGCCCTGGTGGGCTGTGTGATATTTAATGGGGACACAAATCAAATCATCAGTATTTGGGAATGTTGATCTGAAAAAGTTCCGTAGAGGAGGAGATGTTTCAGGTGAGCCTCAAGACAAGGCAAGAAAGATATTCCAGGTAGAAAAGTATTCCAGGTAAAAGGAATAGTTTGAGTAAAGCCCAAGAAGCTTGTCATTCCATCAAAATTAGGAGAACTACGTAAGCAACATGACGAAATAGTGTGCATGAGGGTGGCTGAAGGGGAAGGTGGCTTAGATTTAGGTGTAGGAATGGCATTAAAGAGCCCTCTCACACATGAACCTTGTGGAAATTATGGAATATTCCGATATGTGCAAAGGGCATATTTTCAACAATGATACCAGTGGTTGTCAGCCTGACAATGTTCATATGTATAAGTTCTTGAGTCTCCATACATGTGAAAGAGGATAATCAGGTGACTTCAGGTAACTTCCAGTGGGGGGTGACCAAGTCATGACAGCCCAAACATGTCATCCAAAAGCTGCAGTAACATTACTTTAATGCGCCAAGTCAGCTGCACCTGTTATTTAGTGGACTACCAGGGCCACCTGGCCACGTTGTTCAGAGCTCTATGGTGTCCATAGGCAGCAGTGAAGGGGTACATTGAAACCATGCAGTGATGGCACCTATGAGGCTGAGTAGTTTGTTCTAGGCTGGAGGAGCCGAAGGGTTTTTTTGGCCTGAGCCACTTGCAAGGGTCTGCAGAGGATGCACCACATAATCCTGGGTTGGTGAATGATTCTGGGGAAACAGCCTCCTCTGACCAAATAAGATTGGGAAAGACTGAATGCTATATTTTTCTCATGGAGAGTCACAGTGACCATGAGAATATTTAAACTCCTACCCTAAAGAAGTCTGTTTCATTTTTCTTTTTGGAAAAATAAAAAAACACGGAGTTTCCCAAACTAATTAGACTGCAGAACTTTTTCTCATGTAATGCCTTAAGCATCCCACAGAACTGATGTTTCCACCTGCAGTTGCTGGGGAGACCTAGAAAGGTGGTCAGGAGCTAGATTCTCAAAGCCTGGTAGGCCATGAGGAGGGCTTGGTGCTTATTCTGTCAGATCTCAAGCAAGGAGATAATAGTTGAGATCTGTATTTTCAAAAGAAGGGGCAGGATTGGGCTCTCAACTGAAGCAGCGGCAGCAAGGATCAAAAGGATGGAACAGATTTAAGAGGTAACTTCACGACTAAGAAGATAGGATTTCCAGGACGTAAGTGACTTGCTGAATGCGACAAAGCATGACTCCTGTGGAGGTCCCTGGATGGATCCAGTGGTTCCCCAACACAGGAGAGGGGCAGGTTTGTGGGGGGAGATGCTGGATTCAGGTCTGACCTGTTCCTCTGAGGCACCCATGGTGTAAGACTCCAAAGAGAGGCCACACTCAGGCCAGTAACAATTAAGTCACAACTGAAACCTTGGACCAAAAGGACATAAAAGATAAGAATAGGGATGAAAACAGATCTCAGAAGGATGGGAAAGCTTAAAAGGCAAGAGGGATGGGATCAGTCAGAGATGGGAGGAAAACCAGGAGAGCAGTTTCTCAGAATCCAGGAGAGGTCAGGTGCCCGAGAAAATAAAAATAGGGATGTCAGTTGGATGGCTTTCCTCACCGGAAGTTAGAAGATAATTTTAGCCACAAGTAATTAGAAGTTTAAGTAAACAGAAAATGTGGTCTCTATCTCTTTCCTTCACGTTACTAAATATGCTATCAGAGCATTGCATGTATAGGAAAAGTTGTAAGCTTTGAGAATGCCTACAAGCTCAAATAATTTATGATGTTCCAGTCAGATGATAAAGTTTGCTAATATGATTATATCAAATACTGTTTTTAAGTGCCTCAATTGATACTGAACCAAACATATATGTTAAACTAAATTCCTAAGCATCACTCATTTGTTTTATTTCCATTTATAACTGACTTCAGTTTATTTTCTAATAGTTGGTACAGACATTTGAGTTGCCTTAAATACTTTCTGTAAATGAGAGGAGTAACCAGTCACTTAAAAATGTATGTCTAGCAACAAAACTAAAAAATTTTAAAGCCATCCAAACATTTGAAGGAGAGACTATGCTATTCTTTTGTAGTCATATAAGATATTTTAACAAAACCTAAGTCCCACATTGACCTAAAAATTACTATTTTATAATATCCTTAATGTATCTTTCTATAAGATGACTTTTTATATATGGTAGTGAGTGATATGCTATAAGGAACTTAGCAATAATCTTTCTTCCCCAATAATCTTGTTAATACTTTATTTCAGAGTTTTTCACAATAGCATCATCACATTATTGTCCTCTGCCAATTTTGGCAAAGTAGTTTTAGAAGGACAGGAAAGTATGTGTTTTCAAAGAGTAAAAGTAAATACGTCCTCTAAAAAATCATTTAAACTTTTAGTGCTATATGACTATGTAAGGATCTTGAATTAGACACCAAATCTAAAAATTCCCTTTTAAGTTAGATTGAAAGATTGTGTCCCAAAAAGGCAAAAGTATGATTACATTCTAAAATAAAAGCTTCTTTTTTCTTTTTTTCAAACTGGAATTTGTGGATATTAATCATTAAAAGTCCTGGATCTGAGATAAAGCTGACTAATATCTTCTGACTTGGACGCCTACAAGCCTAGCAGTTTATTTATTTTTATTGCCTTTTCCAAAAAATGGTGGTCAAAGTGATTATTTCATAGCATACTAAGGATGATAAAATGAAATCCCCCATGAAAAATACTGACCATGTGTTGGGAATTAGGGAAAGTAAACAACTGCTACATCTTTATAGTAACCATGGCCAATGAGTAAAGATTTTACTCTTTCCTTCCTTCTTCCATTTAGCAATTATTATACAAACACAAGCCCTAAGGAAGATCGTCACTTTGAAATACAAGAAATATATCCTATTGATCCATACAACCCAGCAAGCTAATCAGAAGACAAACTGGTATCTAACAGAATTTAAATATTCGTATTAATTTATATGTCAAAATGTCTTCCATTTATATCTATCAGTAAGCATAGTACTAAATAGGTATGGTTCTATTGCGCAAGTCTGTAGTAACCATGCATAGAAGTTGTTCATTTACCTACTTCATATTGTCAACTAATGCCGACTCAACAAATATTTAAACAGCAAAAATAAATAAGAAGATGATAAGCATTATGGAGAAAAATAAGACAGGAAAAAGGGATAGATAGGACAGGGTAGTTAGAAGGGAAGTTCTCACTTCTCACTAAGAAAATGGCCTTTGAGCAAAGACTAGAGAGTGAAGTAAGGAGCTAGCCACGAGTGGGAAGAACATTCCAGAAAGAAAGAACAGTAAATGCAAGGACCGGAAGTGGTATGTCTGCTGAGTGGGAAGCGTAGCAAGGAGAAAGTGGCAGAGATGAAATCAGAGAGGTCGGGGAGGAGGGGGAGGATAACCGATCATACTGAGTATGCCAGGTCATTGCAATGGGCTTGCTGTTCATTCTGAGATGGGAACCGCTGGAAGAGCAGATAAGTAGAGTAGTGACAAGAGTAAGACGGAAACTCAAGAGAAATTTATTTTAAGAATGGAGAAATAGCAGCTATGCCACTATTCCTATATGCTGATGGGAATGATCCAGTTGGAGAGGGGAGAAGATGGCAGGGAAGGAAAGAAGGAATTGCTGGAGCCACATGTGGGTAAGCTGGAGGAACAGGAGCTAGTGCTCAAGCAGGAGAGTCGACCTGAGCTAGGACGTGGCTTAATACCAGGAGAGAAGACAGGATATGGGTGCTGATGAAGATGGGTGGGGAGCTGTGGTGGGCAGTGCATGTGTGCAAGTTCTCTTCTGCTGATTCTGTTTTCTCTGCAAGCAGAAAGCAAAACATCAGCTGAGAGGGAGATTGGCCAAGGAAAGGTTAGAGATTTAAGGAGAAGGCATTACGTAGTCACCACGAGAGTCAAATACTGAATGACAGGGAATATAGAAAGGTTTCAGGATCAGTAACTGGCAAAGGTAGAATTCAAGCTCAAATCTGACTTCAAATTGCTTTTTTCTTACAAAATCTACAAAATATAAATAGAGAATCCACCTCTACCCTCTTGAAACTTATATTAATAAGAGGAATAAGATATATACAGGTCATGGCACCACAAACAAGATACAGAAAACTGCTGTGACATTTGAGGAACAAAAGGGTACTTAGAGCTGGTGAATCATAGGAAAAGGGAAGAGAAGAACAAGGGAGCACAAGACTGTTCAGTGCAAACCAGGGGGCTCTAGAGTAAAGTGATTATATAAATGTTTGTTGAGTGAATATGTGAATAAGAATTGGACTATGGCTTCAGTTTCTCCTTCATTTATTTTTATTCCTATTTATTGATTATAAAACTTAATTATGCCATGCACCATATGTTATCTGAAGAAGGGCCTCTTAATAGAATGACAGCTTCTAATAGGCTTGATGCTTTGTTGGTTATAGCACTTATAACTGGTATCAATGATACGAGAGAAGGTTAAAACTCATTATTTAAGCTTCAAGTTATACCATTGCTATTTATGCTGCTTCCTCAACAGCAATTATCTATTTCAGCACGCACTGTTGTTTGGAAGCCAACTGAACACTGGTTGGAAAGAAACCATTCTAATATCAGCAAGTCTTTTTGTATGGCCTCAGCATCAATGAAATGATTTCATAAGCTATAACTCCTATATGCACTATTCTCAAGCAGAACAAAGAAATTTGCTTGTTGATAAAGAAGAAAGCCCGGTTTCACTGCCACATGTTCTTCAAGGACTTTTTGAAGCCTCATCTGTGATGTGCCTGGAGCCAGGCATGGCTATAAACTTACATAACTGAAAGTGTCATCTTTTTAAGGAAGGCACTAAAAGGACCTACCCTCATATCTAAACTCTTCTTCTGTTTGTAATCAACATACTCACTGTTACCATATAATTTTGCCTACAGTGTAGATTTAATTATTTAAGCAAAGTATAAAGCATATTTCCACTTGGTTTGAGTTCTCACATTATATATCTTGCCTTTCCATAATCACTCAGTCATTCTAATTTGCACAGTGTTTTTTTAAATTATGGGAGTCAAGTTCCAATTGTTAAGTCTTGGTGTCTAATTCAAGATTTGGATGTTTCCCTGGCAATTTTGTCAGAAGCTCTAGTTGCTTGTAAAATCATTTAACTATGTATATTAGTCATTCAAATAAATTTTATACTGAAAAAGAAACTTGCCTTATATGACATTTTTCTGGAGTCAATGAACTCTTGAATAACAAACAGAGTCTTAGAATTTTTTAGAGTTCCTGACTTAACATGTAGGCATTCTGGGTCCTGACACTTTGTCCTTTTAGCCAGACTGTCAACCCCTAAACCCCATTTCCTTCTCCTTGAGACATTCTCTTCTGTATGGTGAGGGTCCATCCAACACCTTCCCCCACCCCTCATCCTCTCCCAGCACACTCTAAAGCCACTATCAGTTTTCTCTGTTCCAGCACTTAAACTGTTGAGAAAATGAAACCTTGTGTCTGGTTACCACAAATATACCCTCCCCATCTTCTCCAAGACTATGTGTGCAGATTGACATCTTTTGTTTTTTTTTTAATTGTGGTAAAAAAACCATATGACATAAAACTTACCATCTTAACCATTTTTAAGTGTGGAGTTCAGAAGCATTAAGTATATTTACATTGTTCAGCATATCTCCAGAACTTTTTCATCTTACAGAATTGAAACACTATCGCAATGAACAATCATTCCACATTCCTCTCTCCCTACAGCACCTGGCAGCCACCATTCTACTTTCCTATGAATTTCACAAATTTAGGTGCCTCATTAAGTGGAACCACACAATATTTGTGTTTTTGTGACTGGCTTCACTTAGCATAGTGTCCTCAAGATTCATCCATGTTGTAGCATGTGACAGAATGTCTTCCCTTTTCCAGGCTGAATAGCATTTCATTGCATGTTATACAATTCAGTGTATCCATTCATCTCTTGATGGACATTTGGGTTGTTTTCACCTCATGGCCATTGTGAACAATGCCGGTATGAACATGGGCATACAAATATCTCTTCAAGACATTGTTTTCAATTCTTTTGGATAAATCTCCAGAAGTGGGATGCTGTTCAGCATCTTTTATTCATTCACAGCCAGTACCATTTCTCTTTCTTTAAATTGCCTGTTCATTGACCCTGAAGCCATCTAGTCTACCTTCAGCTTTATTCCCTTTCCTTCTCTTCGAAGATGATGAAAACATCACAGAGTAATATCTCAACTTCTCCCCACCTCCTCCAAGCTTATCTATATGCACTCCTCTGTATCCTCATTTACACCTGCCACATCTCACAGACTATACTGTTCTCTTCATCTCTGTTTCTTCCAGGACATTGCTCCGTCAGTTACACACTCTCTCACCACTAGGTCCTTCTTTTCACCTACAAATTTGCCCACACCAGTGCCCACTCAGTTGCAAGTGATAGAAATCCACACTAGTTTAGACCAAAAAGGGACTTTACTGTATCACATGACAGAAAGAGCCAAGAGTGCAGCTGGCTTTAGTCAAAATGGAAATTAAATATTCAAATAACATCCTCAGGAATCCTACCACCTAGTCTTCTTTTCCTTGCTTGCGTCATTCTGTGGTAGACGATCCCTGAAAACTGGCAAAATATTTGCTGACAATGCCAAGTGCACATCTTGCCAGCTTGGCATTCCAGCATAAAGAACTTTTCTTGTCCAATAACTCCATCAAAACTCCCTTCATCAGCCCAGTTTGTCCAAATAGAGTCACACGTCCCAAATGAATCAGTTCTAGGGCCAGGGCAGTAAAATACGCAGATGACAAAGTCTAAGCTGCCTGCTCAGGCTTGGTGTTGGGGGGTAGGATTGATCTACCGTGATGGTTCTCAAGTGGGGCAGTCCTGTCCCCCTAGAGGACATTTGGCAATATCTGTAGCTGTTTTTGGTTATTACAATTGGAGGAGGGGGTTGCCACTGGCATCTAGAGGATAGAGGCCAGAGATGCTGCCAAAGAGCCTGCAGTGCACAGAGCAGCCTCCATAACAAAGTATCTGGTTCAAACGCCAGTAGTGTGGTTGAGAAGCCATGGTCTATCTGAACCACATGGAACTATGGGATAGAGGGGGTTTCTCAGAGGACAAGTCAAGTCACCGATTCCAGAGGAAGGGACCCAGTTAAAGCAATGAATATCTACCATACCCTCCAAATGAAAACAAATCCTCTCCCAAACCAGCCATGTGTCTCTTTAAACTACTTCCCTTCTCTCTACCACCAAATTTTCTGAAAAAGTGGTTGACGTTAGCTGTCAATCATTTCATTCAGTCAAGAAATAGCCACGTAAATCCTTCTGTAGGCTAAGCAATGTTTTAGGTCATGGGCTATAATAGTAATGAATGGACATGTCTTCATATAGCTTTTATATTAGTGAGGAAAGATGGAATAAACATATTGCCAGTTGGTAATAAAATGAAAAATGATAAATAAAACTTTTAAATTATATGAAGCAGGAAAAGAGGAAAGGAAGTTCTGAAAGATGTGCAGTTGTAAAAATAGTGGCCAAGGAAGGCTTTGTTCAGAAGTTCACATATGAGCAAAAGAACTCAAGGAGAATAAAGAGGTTTCTATGCAGAAAGGTATCTGGTTAGAAAGTGTTTTAAGCAAAAAGAACATTTGAATAAAAGAAAAAGAAAATAAAAATAGAACTATTACAAGATTTAGAGGTTCCTCTGGATATTTATCTGAAGAAGAGAGAATGGATAAGCTCAAGAAGGACTTCAACAAAGAAACAGAAGATCTAAAAAGGAATCAGTCAGAGATGATAAATACAATGAGAGAGAAAAAATACATTAGAGGGAACTAACAGCAGATTAGAGGCAGAAAACAGAGCGGCAACTTAGAAGACAGTAATGGAACACACTCAAGCTGA